AAGTAAACAAACGAGGGGGGGGGGGGAGCTACCGGAATCCCACATGCGTAGTCCCAATGTAAATGCGCAACCACAACCAGAAGATACTAAGAAAGGAAGTACAAAGACAAGCAACAGGTAGTACTAGCCTAGCATGCTTCACGTAGTTCAGTCAGGGCAACTTAAACAATTAGGCAAGTTGGATCAACTAAACATGCTTTCCTAATCTAACACAGGTTATAATTCCAAGTACAATAAGGCAAATATGAAGGAAGGCTCAGTCTCAATATCTTAAGTGAAAACCGGATTTTCAACAATTGGCTCAAGTACGCGCTCGTCACCTCGCGTACAAGGCACTCAATTACCACATATCATATCCTAAGGGGAAAGGTCCCCCACACAAGGTTAGACAAGTCACTTACCTCGAACCGGCTCAATATCAACTAGAAACCACGCCCTTGCCACGAGTATCCGACTCCAAATGGCCCAAATCTATTCAATTCAATTACACATTGTAAATAACATCGCAAACAACTGGTTTTGCTATTAAATTCAAAGCTACGGCGTGAAATTAGGTGAAATGACCAAAATGCCCTTCAGGACAACGCCTCGGAATCGAATAATTTTCACATTTTCAGAACCATCATATTCTCACGAGTCTAACCATATAAAAATCTCCCAAATCGGAGGTCAACTGCTCACTCAAAACTCAATGGTTTAGCCTATGAAGTTTTACCCAATTTCTTCAAATTTTGATCCCAAATTCGAATTTTAATGATGGATTTAACTACAAAATGATGAAATATAACTATAAAGGATTAAAGAAACGTTACCCAATAGTCTTCTCTTCAAAACCCTCTGAAAATCGCCCTTACCTGAGCTCAATTTGGTTTTTCTAACTTATGAAATCAAACCCTCGAATTTTCTATATCAGAACAGGCATTTCCGCTTCTGCGGACAAGGGACCGCTTCTGCGGTCCCGCTTATGCGGAAAATGAGTCGCTTCTGCGACTTTCACTAAAGAGCCAATGTCCGCTTCTGCGGACCATTAACCGCTTATGCGGTTCCGCTTCTGCGGAATTTAAGCCGCTTCTGCGGTTCTAATAAAAGTCCAAGTTTCCGCATCTGCGGTTCTCTTTCTCGCAGATGCGAGGCCGCTCCTGCGGAATTTCCTCCGCATCTGCGGTACCTGAAAAACTCTGCCCAAACCCGCTCCTGCGATGACCAGGCCGCTTCTGCGGCTCCGCTTCTGCGGTTCCCAAGCCGCAGAAGCGAAAATACCAGAAGAGAGAAAAACCAGCTGCTGCAACACTTCAAAAATTCTTCCGTTAACCACCCGAAATCATCCCGAGGCCCCCGGGACCTCAACCAAAAGCACCAATACCACCTAATACCTTATTCAAACTTGTACCAATCCTTAAAACACCTAAAACAACACCGGAAACCCGATTAAATCAAAGATTCAAGCCTAAGAACTACAAGTTTCCTCCAAATACGCTTTCGATCAAAAACCTAACCAAAACACGTCCGAATGACCTGAAATTTTGCACACACATCCCAAATGACATGACGGAGCTACTGCAACTTCCGGAATTCCAATCCGACCCTCGGATCAAAAACTCACTATCGGACCGGAACTTCAAGAATTCAAACTTCGGCATTTCAAGCCTAAATGAGCTACGGACTTCCAAAATACATTCCGAACACGCTCCCAACCCCGAAATCACCTAACGGAGCTAACGGAACCATCGGATTTCCATTCCGAGGTCGTCTTCACACTGTTCCGACTACGGACCACTTTTCCACACTTAAGCTCTCATTTAGGGACTAAGTGTCCCAAAACTCTCCGAAACTCAACACCGAACGTCCCGACAAACCAAAATAGCAGAAATGAACTTAGGAGAAGCAGTTAATGGGGGATCGGGGCGTAAATTCTTAAGACGACCGGCCGGGTCGTCACATCCGCAGATGCGATCCCTGGCCTGGTTAGCTGAGTTCACAGATGCGACTCTTTCTCGCAAATGTGGTCTTGCAGATGCGGTTTCTTTTCCGCAGATGCGGTAGTCCTGGCAGAATCATTTAAATCGAGGGTTTGGCCATTTTCTTCATACTTTGAGTTTTGGACTTCGATTTTGAGAGCTTCTTTCTAGGTTTTTCAAACAAATCGATTGGGTAAGTGTTCTTCACCTAGTATCTAATATATTCCATGATTTTATCTTCATTTCTATCATTTAGTTTGTGTTTTGGGTTGAGAAAAATGTTGGTTTTTGAAGAAAGTTTTCAAAATGAAAAATCATGATTTAAGGGACCAAATCATATCGGAATTTGAAAAATTTTCTATGGTTGAACTCGTATCGAAATGGGTACTCGGTTTTTGTAAAATTCGTCGGATTCTGAGGTGCGGGCCCAGGGGTCGACTTTTGAACCAATTTTTGGATTTAGTTAAAGATTGAGACATGGAGACCCGGAACGGTTTCTTATGCGTTTTATTTGTGCTTTGAAGTTATTTTTGTTGGATTTGAGCCGTCCGGAGGTCTTTTCACTCGAGAAGTGCATTCTAGAGTATCGGTCTGTCTTCTTTTAGGTAAGTATCTTTCCTAACCTTGTGTGGGGGACTTCCCCTTAGGAATTGAGTCTTCTATGTTGATTGTAGTTCGTGTACGCGAGGTGACGAGTGCGTGCTCGGAATTATTTGTGGAAAGTTGGCCTTTAGGATTCTTAGGTCCTTATACTTATTATTTTTGAAGTTGTTCATGATACGTTTGAGTTCCTATTAGTTGGTTTCACTTCTACATGCTTTAGTTATAATCAATTGCTTTAGGATTCACTCTTATTGCCTATTTGACTCTTATTTGACTTAACTAAAGATTTTTCCTCTTCTATCGTCATGCTATCTTTTCATAACAGCTTATCTTCAATTGAAATTGTTATTGTCTCATACTATAATTGTTTAGTCTTAGTTGGAGTGATTATTATCTTCTGTTGCTTACCATTATTTAAATTGTTGAATATCCTTCGCAATTGCTCAACCTTAAAAGGAGTTTAGATAACCTATATCTTAGTTGACTTGCCTTTATTTGGAACTATTTGATTCGTGTTGGCTTCCTTAGTGTTGACTTGTATATTGTGGGGTCGTTGCTACATGTTAGTTTTCCCCTGTTGAACTGTTCCCTTATTGCCTAGCATTATTTACTGTGGTTATTCTTTGTAAAATGGTTCTACCATTTCTTTGTGATTTAAAGTTCTTGAGTTGATTTACTCGCCGTACATTGTATTATTGTCATTTTTGTTGTTGTACTTGTTGTGGTGATGTACGCAGTTTCTGCCATGCTGTAACTGTTATTTCTATTGGTTGCACTGTATATTAACTTTGGGACTACGGGATGGTATCTCGGTAGATCCCCGTATTCTGCATATTCACTTTGAGACTACGGAATGGTATTCCGGTAAATCCCTCTACACATTTACGTTTGGGACTAACGGACGGTATACTAGTAGATCCCTTTATTCTTTATATTTACTTTGGGACTACGGAACGGTATTCTGGTAGATCCCCTGCATATTTACGTTTGGGACTACGAGAAGGTATCCTGAGAGATCCCCTGTTATTATCACTGTGTTCTGAGCTGTGCTTTTCATTGATCCTATCCCTGTGTAAACATTATATGTGTTGTCCGTTCTTTTCCTTATGCTTACTAGCTGGTATGAACTATCTTAGGACACTTGCACAAGCATACACGTGGCTAAGCATCCTTATCGGATAAGAGGCTTCTTGATATTGCTGACTATAGATGCACACCCCTGTTTATTTGCCTTCCATGTGAGAATGGATCTATTTCGTACATGAGTTGTCAGTATGATTATGAGGTGTGATGAGGGAAAAGGATGCCAAGTGTTAGGGTTCAGGTATTGAGACCCGTATTGTATGATTATGAGATGAGGTGTCACTGGGTGACTTATATTCGAAGGATATTTATTTAAAAAGATTATATTCGAAAGGTATTCATTTTTAAAGAACTATCATTGAAAAATATTTATTTGAAAGAAGTATATTTCTAAATATTTTTATCACTTGAAGGATTTGATTAATTGATTGAAGTTTATTGGTTATCACCTAATGTGAAAATTGCCGTAGTTGCTAAGTTACGACTTGTCCTTACTGTATTTGTGATTTCGGATTTGGGTTGTATTCCCATTCACTTTTCTGTGCTTTTATTATGGTGTTCCGTCGTTACTTGCTATTTTCTTTCCTTATTGCAATTACTATATTGATAGCCATATCGCGTAGTCTTTATATAGATATCATGTTCTATTGTTTCTATGCTTATACTTGTTCAGTTTATTAGACCAGTAGGTGTCTTGACTGTTCCTCGTCAAAACTCCACCGAGGTTAGTCTTGATACTTACTGGGCACCGGTATGGTGTGCTCATACTACACTTCTGTATATTTTTTTTGTACAGATCTAGGTTTTGATCGTTAGTAGCTGTGCGGATTCTGGCCGAGGAGACTCAAGGTAACCCTACTGTTGCGTTCGCAGGCTTCGGAGTCACCTTCCTACTTTGTATTCACACTATTGTACTTTTTTCCATACAGTTGTGTTTAGAAGTTGTAGCGAAACTCTGTAGAACTTATGACTTGTACTAGCGATTTTGGGAATTTGTAAGTTTTGTGAAGCTTTCTATATCGAGACTGTTAGATTTTCTTAATTATTATTGTTATTCAGTAAACGTTAGGCTTACCTAGTCCGTAAGACTAGGTGCCATCACGAAACCCAACGAAGGAAAAATTAGGTCATGACATCTAGACAAAAGGAAACAGTACGAAATTTCAGAGCCTAATTCATGATGATTCAAGAGTAAGCCCACGGCCCAATCTTAGTCAAATTTTTTTTGGTAATTATTTATATTTTATATCATCTCAAATCATTTACATGCTTCCTCCAGAATCAGCAGTTTGGATAAGGAGCTCCGAAACTTGCTGTATGCTATCTCTATCAACTTTGTTTACATGTTTCTAGCTTCTAAGGATAAAAATTCAAATCTTTCATGTATCTATCTAATCTGCTTATTTTGCGAGCTCTCACATGGATTTCTCTTATCACCTGCTTCACTATTTGGTTTGCTGATTTGCTGCTTTCTCTGAATATCCTTCCATTCCTTTCCTGCCATACATGATACACTCCACAAGCTAGTGTCATTCTGTATATCTCCTGGTAAGCAGTCTTCCTTGTGGTGTTTTCTATTGCCCATTGTACTTCATTCTTCCAGTTCCATACATCTCTCTTAATGCCTTGCCAAGTTAGGAGTTTTGACCATAGTTGTTGAGCATAAATGCATTCGAATAGTAGGTGGTCTATATCTTCATTTTCTTGCTTGCATAACACACAGACCATATCTTCTAGATTAGCCCAGCATGCTATCCTCTCCTTAGTTTGTAACCTTCTGTGAAGAGCCAAAAATAAGATGAAAGTCCATTTAGGATGGCCATTGTTGTTGCAGACCAGTCTTCTCCAAGGGACTTTTGGGCATTCCCCACGATAGGCTCCATATACATCCTTTATTGAGTATTTAGTCATAGCAGCTACATCAGCTTCATGGAGACCTATTTTTTCAAACATGCTCTTTGCTTTGAAGATCTTCTGTACCACCCATGAAGCTTGGGTGGTCTTAGTCTCCCATATATCCCCTGTCTTGGTATAGTAAGCATGGATCCATTTCACCCATAGACAATCTTTCTTCCTGCATATATTCCATAGAAGTTTACCAATGGCGGCCCAGTTCCATGTATATATGTCTAAAATATTTAGACCCCCTGCTGCTTTAGGGAGGCATAGTCTATCCCAGGCAATCAGTGCCTTCTTGCTGAGATCATTGCCTCCTGTCCACAAGAAGTTTCTGCAAGTGGCTTCAATCATCTGAACAGCTTTCCTTGGTAGCACAAAGACTTGTGACCAGTATACTTGAATCGAGTACAACACAGATTTCACAAGCTGTAGCCTTCCAGCATATGATAGGTATCTTGTGGTCCATGATTTTATTCTAGCCAGAATCTTGTCTATCAGGGGTTTGCATTGAATAATAGACAACCTTTTTCTACTTAGAGGGATGCCTAAGTACCTAAAAGGTAGATCACCCTTGCCAAATTGTGTAGCCTGAAGGATCAGCTGTTGAATCTCCTAAGGGACACCACCAAAGTACACTGAACTTTTTTCAATATTGGCACTTAATCCAGACACTTGTGAGAAATTTTGGAAGCATTGGACTAGCATATGATAGATTCAAGTTCTCCTTTGCAGAATAGTAAGAGATCATCTGCAAATCCAAGTTGAATAATCTGCAGCTTTTTGCATCTAGGATGAAATTTGAACTTTTTATCTTCACTGATTCTCCTTAAGCTTCTGCTAAAATACTCCATGGCAAGTACAAAAAGGAAAGGAGACAGAGGGTCTCCTTGCCTTAGGCCTTTCTTAGTTGGAAAGGGTGTAATGGATCTCCATTGAGCAATACTGAATAGGAGACAGTAGAGATGCAACACATAATCCATCTGATGAACTTTGTTGGGAACTGGAGGTATTGTAGTACTTGCTCTACATATGGCTATTCTATTGAGTCATAAGCCTTTCTCATATCTATTTTAACCATGCATCTAGGAGTAATGCCTTCCCTGCCATAGCCCTTCACCAATTCATGGCTCAATAGGATATTGTCTGTGATTAGTCTGTCTGGTACAAATGCTGATTGACTATTGTCTACCAGGCTGTCCATTATCCCCTGCATCCTAGTAGTAAGTATTTTAGAGATCAATTTATATAGCATAGTGCAGCATGCTATTGGCCTGAATTCTGAAATTTTTGTGGGGTTTTTAATCTTTGGGATAAGAGTAATAGTTGTACAGTTTATAGCTTTATATAGGTCTCCATCAATGAAGAATTGGAGGACTGCTTCAGTGACCTTGCTCTATCACACTCCAAGCTTTCTTGAAAAAGTATGCATTGAACCCATCACACCCTGGAGCTTTTTGGTCATCAATGTTCATAAGAGCTTGAAAGATTTCTTCTTTAGTAACCTGTGATACAAGCTGCAGTTGTTGATGTCTGTTAAGAACCTTTCCATGTTTCATTACCTCAGGGTCAATTTCTGGAAGTTGACTAGCAGCACTTCCTAGAAGTGTTTTATAGAAGCTAGTTACTTCTATGGCAATGTCTGCACGTTTGTGGATTATGCTTCCATTAGATTCACACAGGCTTGTAATTCTATTCTGAGTCTGTCTGCTCCTTAAGCTGGCAAAGAAGTAGGCATTGTTCTCATCACCAAGTTCTAGCCATTTATTTCTTGATTTTTGCTTAAGTATACTTTCCTCCACTAGACTCCATTTCTCTAGTTTCATCTTCACTTCTTTCTCTTCTTCAAATAAGTAGTCTGGCTGCATGTGTTGACCCTTTTGTGTTTGTATATCTTGCAATTCCTTTCTATATAGCTCCAGCTTCTGCCCTATGTTCCTGAATTCTGTATGATTCAGTTGTTTGAATTCTTTCTTCATTACTTTGAGTTTCCACCATATGTTCTGCATGTGCTGCTTTGTTGTAGGTTTATGCCAGATATTAGTCACCACTTTCAGGAAGTCTTTATGCTCAGCAAGGTAGTTTAGGAATCTAAAAGGCTTTGAACTTCTTTGCACCTTATTTTGTAATTGAATACACAAAGGAGTATGGTCTGAAACCCTAGGATTTAGGATCATTACTTCATTGGTAACATTTGTCATCAGTTATTCAGTATTTACAAAAGCTCTGTCTATTCTGCTCCATATGTGGCCATTTGACCAAGTATATTTCCATCCAATTGCTCTTAGTTCTGTCATGTCACTAGTTTGCAGAAACTCATTAAAGTCCCTTGCTTCATTATCTTGAACTGGGCTGCCAAATTGTGTGTCTTCTATATCAGTTATTGCATTGAAATCCCCAAAGACTAACCATGGACTTTGAATATGCCTACTTGCCCCTTTCAAGTCTTCCCACAGCTCCTTCCTTGTTTCAATAGTATGTAAACCATAGACTGCTGTCAGGTGTAGTTTTATCTGTAGGTGAGGTGTGCTAAGGACTCCATGAATAGCCTGAACATTCATATTAGTAGCTTCAAATTTCAGCCTGTTTGGGTCTCACAGGATCCATATTCTTCCTTTTGAGCTATATGCATAGTTTGCACACCAATCTTAGTCAAATTCAAACCATTCCAATTACATTTATCGTCCGCCCTTTTCCCCTTTGTTCTATGTGTATGTATATAGCTGAGTAAGGGTAAGTCTTGGAGAGAGAAATTACACAAATAAAAAGTGTGTGAATGGGTAAGGCATAACATAGGGTACGTGTCTACTTGGCAGAAAGAAAAGGAGTGGAAAAATCCAAAATAAGGTGCAGGTGAGGATAACATTTAAAATTGTGTCTAGGTGATCAAGAAGGAATAAAATTAGTTATGCAAGGTGTCACTTTTTCCTTAGTGCTCTTGCTTTGTTAATTTTTCTTTTCCTGGTGATAAGTAAATAAAATAAAATATACTCCTAGTAACTCCAAAAATAGCAAGGTAGAAATACTACATGCTCAATATTTATTTGTTGAAAAATCACTAACTTAAAAATTGCACTAAATTAAATAAAATTACATCTTTTTTTTTGGAAACTTTTCTTTCTTTGTAAAATAAAGATAACTTATACTAAAATGTGACTCTCTTTTTTTTAACATTTTTAATTTTCTCAAATAAAACCTATAAAAGGTAAAACAAAAGTAAATAAGAAGATTAAACTTTAAAAAAATTGACATACTAAAAAGTGGCAAAATTTTCAAATATGGTCAAAAATTAGGTGCTCACAGCATTCCCCTCTTTGCTTGGAAACATGAAAAGTTTTGAACCAAAGACAAGATGAGCCATGTGACAAATTTTTGACCAAATCATTATTCAAAAAGGGAAAATAAACAAAAGAAAGGTGCGATCGAGTCCTGGTTTTGGACAGCCTACATATCCCGGGTTATAAGGGAATCAGGTCGCGTGTAGTTCAAGAAGAGTAATGGAATGGTGAGTTATAGAGTCGAGTGAGGTTCCGTCAAGGCTCCGGTCCGTGGTCCTGTTATTACATCAAAATCAATCTAAAGGAACTAAACAAGCCTATCAGCTATGAGTTACAAGATTCCTATCTATAAATCTTCTAAAGCTTGATCTTGAGTCTTGAATGGTTCTTCATGCAAACTTTTGATTAGAACCTTGATACTTGCTAGCTGCAGATGCTAGTTCATTCTTCCTCAGCTTTTCGGATAAGAGCGGGGAATGTAGTGCTCGTGACTTCAGTCATGTCTTGAGCAGTTCACACCTTTCATCTACTTCTGCATTTTGGATTCACTTCTTTTTTTTTTTCTTTTATTCTGGATTGAGACTTCTTCTTTTGGTCATCTCGAACCCTATGCCTCGAGGTATAACCTGCTCAGGCACCAAAACAAACAAACGAACGAAATTTTTCTGCCCCAGTTTTCACTAGAAAAATTTCGTGAGTTACTGGTAACAAAACTCTATACCACGTCATTATTGAAAGCAATAAAAGGTCGGGATTGGTGTACCAGGGGAAAAAAAGACTAGGGAATGGAGACCCTATGTTGGAAAAACTAACCACTTGAGGAAACTAAAAACTGACCCTATTCTCCAGGCGAGACCCCTGAACTTTAAGAAAAACTAAAGACTAACAACTTAAGGAAACTAAAAGCTGACCCTATTCTCCAGGAGAGACCCCTGAACTTAAAAAAAACTAAAGATTAACAACTAAAAACTGAAACTTGACCGTTTATCTTTTCAAAATCCAGACTTCATTTTTTTTAAATAATCCTAGGAGAAATTCATCAGATCTTTTATCTTAGGAGAAAGGTTCATTAGAATAAGACGTCTATCCCAGGAGAAAGTTCATCAGACTTGGTTTCCTAATTTATTATCTTAGGAGAAAATTCATCAGACTAGATCTTTTATTTAGGAGAAATGTTCATCAGACTAAGACGTCTATCCTAGGAGAAAGTTCATCAGACTAGGTTTCTTAATTTATTATCTTAGGAGAAAGATTCATCAGACTAAGATTTCTATCCTAGGAGAAAATTCATCAGACTAGGGCTTTTTATCTTAGGAGAAAAATTCATCAAACTAAGACTTCTACAAAAAAGGACAGCCTGGTGCACTAAGCTCCCGCTATGCGGGGTCTAGGGAAGGGCCAGACTACAAGGGTCTATCATACGCAGCCTTACCCTACATTTTTGCAAGAGTTTGTTTCCACGGCTCGAACCCGTGATCTCCTGGTCACATGGCAGCAACTTTACCAGATGGGCCAAGGCTCCCCTTTAGACTAAGACTTCTATCCTAGGAGAAAATTCATCAGACTAAGATTTCTATACTAGGAGAAAATTCATCAGACTAGGGCTTTTATATCTTAGGAGAAAAATTCATCAGACTAAGACTTCTATCCTAGGAGAAAATTCATCAGACTAGTTTTTCTTTTTTACTATCTTAGGAGAAAGATTCATCAGACTAAGACTTCTATCCTAGGAGAAAATTCATCTGACTAGGTTTTTTATCTTAGGAGAAAGATTCATCAGACTAAGACTTCTATCCTAGGAGAAAATTCATCAGACTAGGGCTTTTTAACTTAGGAGAAAAATTCATCAGACTAAGACCTCTATCCTAGAAGAAAATTTGTCAAACTAGATTTTCTTAATAATATCTTTAGAGAAAGATTCATTAGACTAAGACTTCTATCCTAGGAGAAAGATTCATTAGACTAAGACTTCTATCCTAGGAGAAAATTCATCAGACTAGGTTTTTTGTCTTAGGAGAAAGATTCTTCAGACTAAGACTTCTATCCTAGGAGAAAATTCATCAGACTAGGTTTTCTTATCTTAGGAGAAAAATTCATCAGACTAAGATGTCTATCCTAGGAGAAAATTCATCAGACTAGGTTTTTTATCTTAGGAGAAAAATTCATCAGACTAAAATTTTTATTAGAAGGAAAATCCATCAGACTAGGACATATTACCCTAGGAGGAAAAAATGTGACGAGCAATGGCAAGATTTTACGCACACTAGCAAGACAAATAAAGGCAAAGATTTGAGAAACTTCCCTTTGTCAGCTCTTCTCTTCTCTTCTCTTTCTCTTTTTTTCTTTTTTTTAACCACTTTCCTTGCACAGGTTTGTTCCTGTTTCAATAAAAGAAAATTTTGTCAGTTTTGAAAGTGGTGGTTGGTTTGTGGCCTTGAGTCTTGGGCAGCTTGGCATTGTGATCATCCAGCCTTTTAAGACGGACTGCATCTGTAGTTGGTTGCACTGCTGGGAGACTCTATTGTTACTTTCAAGGGACCTTTACTTTCTGTATCAACCTTGATTGTTTTGCTCCCAGTGCCATTGGTGTTTTTTGGCTCAATCAGCCTTATCCCAACTAAAGATCTTTGCTTAGGTGACCTTTTCTGATATCTTGAATGACTTCCTGCTTTTCGAGCAATTTGTCTGTCAAAGAGAATCACAAGTTATCTTTGCTTGCGCCAAGTAGGCTGACAAGAGTCTTTTTGGGGGAGCCTTTGCATGAATCCTCGAGGCATGTTGATAGTAACAACTATGTGTGCTGGCAAAATTTACTTTGTGCAACTGAAAAGCTGGTAGCAGATTTTGAAATCTTTTCTTGCTTGTTTTGAAAAGGTCAGACTCAGAGTGAAGGACACAATGATGCCAAGAAACAATATTAACAAGA